GGGGGGGGGGGCGGGCCCGCCGCGTCTGCCGCCTCACCGACCACCTGGCCGCCCGCGGGGTCGCCCACAACCTCTTCGCCACGCGGGGGGCCGGGCCGGAGGGGCCGGCCTCCGCGCGCCCGGGCCTCCGCGTCCTCCTCTGGCCCCGCCGCGCCTCCTTCGGCGCCAAGGAAGGGGCCGCCTTCAACGTCGCCCTCTGCGAGCTGGCCGGGCACCTGCCCCTCAAGGCGGCCGCCGACTTCGAGGCCCTCACCGAGGCCCACGCCCTCCGCCTCATCCGCGACTGCCTCCTGCCCGAGGCCGACTTCGCCCAGCTCCTGCCGGACCTCCTGGCCCTCCTCCCCGCCGAGGACTGACTCGCCGGCCGCCAACTGCCCCTGGACTCTCCCTCGGCATTAAAGCGCAAAAGGAAACGCAGCCCGAGCGGTGGTCGTCCTTGGGGGTCCCGCGGGAGGGAGGGCGAGGGCGGGCGGGCGCCGCCAAACGAAGGTTCAGCCCGCTTACCAAGCCTCGCCTGTAGTCGGCGGTGGGACTCGAACCAGCCAGGGGAGGGGAGAGGGTCTGGCACGGGTTAAGAGGGCTTCAGGAGGAAACTGGACAATAAACATACGGAGCAGAGGAACCCTCAGTCTGGGGCCAGGGATGCCCTGTCTTCTTGGGGCTGGGGGGGGGGGGAAACAAGGGAGGGGGGCTCTGGTGCTTGGGGGGGGCAACACAGGGAGGGCTCCTGGCCCCACTGCTGGCCCTCCTGAGGGCCCCTGGTATTTCTGGCCCCTGTGTGACACAGAGTGTTGGACTGGAGGGGCCACTGGCCTGATCCAACATTGGTTTCTCTTATGTTCTTATGGGAACTCTCTGTCTGGGGCAAGGGAGGCTCTGTCTTCTTGGGGCTTGGGGGAGGGGGCAACAGTGGGAGGGGCTTCTGGTGTCCTCCTGGCCCCACTGCTGGACCTCCCGGTGGCCCCTGGTGCTTCTGGCCCCCGTGTGTGACGCGGCGTGTTGGACTGGATGGGCCATTCGCGCTTCCCCACGTGCAGGAACACAGTCCCGCCCCCTCCCGGACATCCGGTTTAAGCCCGGCCCGCCGCGCTCGGCTCCCTGCCGGGAAAGGGCAGGAGCCCATGCAAATCAGCGGAGGGGGGAGGGGGCCTGCGCGCGAAGGAAGCGCCAATGACGAACGAGACGGCGCCTTCGTCACAGACGACGAGAAGCCCGCCGACTGCGCGCGCAGCCGCCGCCGGTTCCCGGACCCCGCCCTCTCCCGAAGGGGCGGGGCCGTCCGTCGCCATGGGGACGGCGTCGGGGCCGAGGCCCAGGCGCCGCCGCCCCCACTGAGAAACCGCGGGGCCGGTGAGGGGGCGGGGAAGACCCCTCTCCCTTACCCCCCACTCTCCCGCCCCTCGCCCCCTCTGGCACGCGGGGCGGAGCGGCCCTCCCTCGCAGGACTGCCAACCTCCCGGTGCGGCCGGGAGACTTCCCAGCAGCACAGCTGGCCTCTCAGGCAGCGGAGCCCCCTTGCGGGGGGGGGGGCGCCCTCTGGACTTCGTGCCCCCCGCTGAGCCCCCTTCCCTCCTCCAGCCCCTCCCCTCCCCAGATCTCCAGGAATCTCCCGGCCGGGAGTTGACAACCCTCACTCCCCAGCCGCCGCATCAAGTCCTGGTTGGCAAGGCAGATCCAGCGCCTCTTAGAGGGGAGCTGAGGGGGGGCCCAGGCAGCCCTCCCTGGCCAGGGGGGGAGGGAGAGAGAGGGAGGGGGTGGGCTCCTGCCAGGCCTTCTCGCCCCCCCTCTGAGGCCGCCTCCCCTCTGCCCTTTCACAAGAGCGCCTGAGAGGATGAAGATCAGCGCAGAGGGAAGCAGCGAGTCCGAGAACGAAACGGACGAGGATGAAGACGAGGAGGAGGAGGAAGAAGAGGAGGAGGAGGAGGACGGGGGTCTCTCTGATGAGTCTGCCAACGCCTGCCTGAAGAGGCTGGAGGAGGAAGACAAAGCTTCTCCCAGCAAGCCACCACAAGCCCCCTGCCCGGGGCGCCGAAGTAAGGCGGGGAGCGGGAATGACCAGCCGGGGGTGTCCCCGGTCGATCTGGAGGCCCAGGCCCCCGAGGAGTGGGAGGACGCCGAACAGTCAAGGAGGAAGAAAAAGAAAAAGTACAGGCGAGTGGCCTCTCTCTCTCTCTCCCCTTGCCCTGGATGATTCCCACGCAGGCACCCCGACATCCACGTGGCCAGCTGTAGGCGCCCTTCCCTTCACCTTCGGAGGGGGGTTGGGGCTGCACCCCTCCCTCCTGTGCCTTCTGGGGGGGGGGAGCCTTGACCTCTCTTGTTCCTTCCCCACGTCTGGCTCCCTGTGGCCACTGAGCCCTTGCTTTCTTCATTCCAGGATCCTGTCCATCAATCTCTCCAGCTGCAAGTACGAGAGTGGTAAGTCAGAGCTGCAGTTTGGCACTCTCCCCTCTAGGCAAGCAGTAGCCGGTTGGGCAGCTGGGACCAGGAGGCGTGGGAGTCCTGCCCTAGAGATTTCTGGGGCCTCGCTGGGAATGCTTCTTGCAGCCCCTGTTGCATTGGCTCCAGTTGTGTGGCACAGACAGCCACGGCCCCCTCTGTGGCAAGAAGAGCCCCCAATCCTTCCGTGCCCCTTCCTCTTCTGCTTTCGCTGCAGTGCGGCGTGCTGCTCGGCGCTGCAGCCTGAAAGAAGTGGGCGAAGACGAGGAGTGGACGGTTTACTGGACTGACTGCTCTGTCTCCCTGGAGCGCGTCATGGAGATGAAGAGGTTTCAGGTACCTGCCATGGAGCCTCAGAGAAGGAGCAGACAGGCTGCGTCTAGCTTCCAAGAGCCTCCCTCAGCCTGCAGGTCTGGAAATGCCAGGGCACCGCTCTCCCTTTTGCTGCTGGAGCACCTGACATCTGTCCTTCCTGCTCTTAGAAGTTCCTGGTGCTGATCAGCACACTTGTCAGAGACGCTTGCGCTGTCTGCGGGATTGCTCTGGCCACACGCCTTTGCTTCTTTGCCTCTGAGCTGCCTGAAGTGATGCCATCTTTGGGTGTCCTAGAGAAAAAAGCCCGGTGGCATCCTACAGATTAATGGGTCCATTATGACATGTTTATTTACACTGTGTACAGTCCGCCTTCCTCACAGAGACTCCAAGCAGATTACACACAGTGAAACAATACAATTGTCACCGTGGGACAGTCAATAAAAAACACATTAGGATTTTAGATGTCTGCAACCACCCAGAAATCTAAAAGATAAAAACTGAAACACAGTATAAGTATTCAAATGACACATAAAGGAGCACAGAAATTACATGGCACGATCCTACTTAGAGTACGCCATCCACCAGAACATAAGCCCCTAATCATTTATCCAAGTACGTTTGAGAACCATCTAGTACAGTGCAACCCTGTTGCCTGTGCAGAAAGGGCCTCTTGAATCATTCCGTTCTTCCTGGTCTGCAGAAATCCAGGGGCATGGCAGTCTGCCATTCCACAAGGCGGGAGTAGAGTCGTTAGATCCAATGGAACTGGTGCGGTTTGGGTGGATTCATATACAAGGTCACGCAGGAAGAAAATGTAAACAGTGAAATCAATAGACCTGAAATGCAAGAGGGATCATCTGTGGTGCAAAACGTAAATGCGTAGAAAGGAACCACTGTGACCATTAATCGCAGTAGGCGATGCTTGCATAGCTAATTTGACTTGCGGTGTAGAAAAGCCAACTGGACTCTAATTGGATGTTAAGTTTGCTGATAAACTCTAGTGTGGCAATTTCTTGACAATAGTCTCCTTTTTGGTATAAACCCCCCCCCCCCTCTGCATGACAGACTTGCATCCCTTTTGTTCGATCTGCGGGCGATCCCACTCCATTCAGCAGCTCTCCTGCTCTCGCTTTGTTTCAGAAAATCAACCATTTCCCAGGCATGGCCGAGATCTGCCGCAAGGACCTCCTGGCCCGCAACCTGAACCGCATGCTCAAGCTCTTCCCCAAGGAGTACTGCATCTTCCCCCGCACCTGGTGCCTGCCGGCTGAGTGAGTGCGACCCCACCCCACCCCACCCCACGGGGATCCTGCACAGAGGGGGAGGGGATTCCCGGGCAGTAAAGACACCCATGGTCAGCCTCTCCTTGCGCCAGTGGTTGGGTTGTCTCTTCACTGTGCAGCTACGGGGACTTCCAAGCCTACGGGCGACTAAGGAAGAACAGGACATACATCTGCAAGCCGGACAGCGGCTGCCAGGGGCGGGGCATCTTCATTACGCGCAACCCCAAGGAGATCAAGCACGGCGAGCACATGATCTGCCAGCAGTACATCACCAAGGTGGGCCTGGAGCGTGCATCCCTCGCAGCCCCCCCCCCCGTTCCTGCCCTCCTGCCCTAGCTTGTTGCCTGGCCTCAGGGCCAGACTGTGGAGGAAGCCCCTCACCCACAGCTCCCTGGCTGGTTTCCTTGCAGCCCTTCCTCATCGACGGCTACAAGTTCGACATGCGCATCTACGTCCTGGTCACTTCCTGCGACCCGCTGAAAATTTTTGTCTATGAGGAGGGGCTGGCCCGCTTTGCCACCATGAGGTACATCGAGCCCAGCAGCAGCAACCTGGTAAAGAAGGAGTGTTCCCCAGGAGCAGTATAGGTTTGGTGGCACGCGGTGACCTCTTGGTGCTGGAAGAGGGGTGGGCTGGGGGGTCCAGAGCAGGGTCCCTGGGATCCCCAAGCTCCTCAGCCTCGAGGGTCGGGAAGGCCCCCCCTTCCCTCGGGAAGATGCTGAGCAGCTGGTAGCCAGCGGGGCCACACGTCTGTCTGTCACAGCGGCAAGCAGCCGTCACCCCTGGGCTAGAACGTGCAACACGGAGGAGGAAGGTGGGGAGCCTGGGCTGGTGGCGCTGGCATGGGGTGGGGGTGGGCAAGAGCTCCCCCAGCGGGAAGAGTGAACCTTCCTGCCGCCTGTCCCCCAGGATGACATCTGCATGCACCTGACCAACTACGCCATCAATAAGCACAACGAGAACTTTGTTCGAGATGAGAACACGGGCAGCAAGAGGTATTGTCACCGGCTGAGGCCCTGCAGAGGAGACAGGGGGAGGGGCATTTGCAAGTGATCAGCCCTTGGCTGCTGTGCAACTGGGCAAAGGAGATGGACCCCGGGGACTGGCAGATGCGGGCTCTGGTCCCTGCCTGCCTAGCCAGCGACTAGATTGGCTCGCAGCCCTGTGGGCATCTGCATTTGCTTTCCCCACAGGGGGAGGCTGGGCACTGCTGTTCCACGCCCCGTATTGCATGGCCCTCTTGGGTGGGCCCCATGAATGAGCAAGGGATCCGAGGCACGCCAAGGCGGCGATCCTAGGCCAGTCCCACGGAGACGGATTTGGGACGGGGCCCAGCGGGCCTGAAGTGGGGCTGCTCCGTTGGCAGGAGCCTCTGACGCCTCCCCCCCCCCGCCCAACAGGAAGCTGTCCACGCTGAACGCCTGGATGCGGGAGCACGGCTACGACATGGCCGAGCTGTGGCGCGACATTGAGGACATCATCATCAAGACCCTGATCGCCGCCCACCCGGTGCTGAAGCACAACTACCGCACCTGCTTCCCCAACCACATCTCGGGCTGCGCCTGCTTCGAGATCCTCGGCTTCGACGTTCTCCTGGACAGGAAGCTCAAGCCGTGGCTCTTGGAGGTAAACGCCCCCCCCGGCTGTAGGCAAGCCTCCACGGCAGGTGTCCCCCGCCGGGCCTCCTCAGCCTCGCCTCGCGCTCATCACCCTCTCGTCTTGCGCCGAGCATCTGTGCCGCCGTCTGCTCCTCAAACGTGGAGTCAACACAGATTAGCTCCGCAAGTACTTCACGCTCACTCCGGCCCACCTGGCCAAGTCCCAGATTTCTCAGCACCTTTGTCAAGGAGTCGAAGGCTGAGCCCCGAGGGTTTTCAGGGCAATTGTGCACAAACAACCAGTCCATTGTTTTGTTTTGAAGTTTATTTCAGTTTCTGTCAATATAAGAATTTATTCTACACCCAACACATACTCTAAAACCATGCAGCAAGAAAACAGTAAAGCTAGCTCAACTGCCTAACACTTTTAGGACTGGCATGAGACGGCACAGACCTTAATTTCAAAAGCCCCTTCATTCTATCTCTGCACTGCTAGCAACCGCCATTCAAGCAGGTCCCTGGTCAGGCCTTTAGTCCCGCAGAATCTCAGCCAGCCAGCCAGGCAGTAGTCTTCATCAGGGCCTAAGCTTAATTAGAGTTTGGGGCCCTGCAAGATCAGGTGAGGATGACATCCAGTCAGGACAATGCTCCCTCTGAGCTGTGGAGTCTCGTGAGCAAAAATTCATGAGCTCCAGGCATTAAAGTTGTGAGCAAGCGATTTGACTGCTGCATAAACTAGTTTGCTCTGGAGCCATCCTTCCTGAGCTGAGACAAGAATGTGTGAGCCGGAGGCTAAAAAAACGGTGAGCTAGCTCACAGTAGCTCAGCTGAGAGGGAACACCGCTCATCACCACCCCCAATCCTTCCCCTCCGTTCATGCGGACAGCAGGTTCCCATGAGAAGCTAACCGCCCTGGCCTTGAGGAGGATAAGAGCTGCGTAGGCCATGGGACCAGTCAACAACACCTGCAGGATAGATCAGGCAGCCCTTACCATTCGTCTTAACCCCTTAAGATGAGGCCGGCCGGGGGTCCTTTGCGCCACAACCTCTCCCCTGCCCTACCCTGTTCCAGGCACCGGCAGTCCCAAAGAAAGATGCTCCTTAGCCCCCCCCTTCTCATCCCCCTCTGCTCCCCCACGTCAAGGGCTGGGAAGGCAAGCCCTTGTCCTGGGAAAGGCAGCAGCCCCGCAGCCCCAGAAGCAAATCCAGACAAGAACTTGGGGGGGGGGGGCGCGTGCTGAGTGAGCCCCGTGGGCTGAGAACCTCTCCCCCTTCCAGGTCAACCACTCCCCCAGCTTCACCACCGACTCACGGCTGGACCGAGAAGTGAAGGACGCCCTGCTCTGCGACGCCATCAACCTCATCAACCTGCGGGCCTGCGACAAGAGGAAGGTCCTGGAGGAGGACAAGAGGCGGGTCAAGGAGCGCCTCCTCCAAGCCCACCAGCCCCCGCGGGAAGCCAGGTGCCGGCAGGAGGGGGGGGGGGGGGAGAACAAGACCGGGTACAGCGGTCAATATGCACTATGCAAACTTACTGTGTAAGCCACCCTGAGCTGGCCTTGCTGGGAGGGCGGGGTAAAAAATCTAATAAATAAAATCAATGATAATATTCGACAATAATTGTATATTCCCTATTTATGAAAATAAGATGATTTATAAACAGTAAATATGCATACGACTATTCACAAAGGGATACAGTCAAGCAGGGGGAATGCAGGTTTCATAACTGAAAATAAAGTCACACAAACAAGTCCATAACATCCAAACTGTCACCATCTGTTTATATATCTGCCAGAGACCCCGCTGGTGAGGAGAAAACCCTCTAAATCTTCCCTCTGTATAGAATACAGGCTTGATAGTGGAATCTGGCGATATGGTCCCAGCCAACAGGCAAGCTAGCTAGCTAGACAGACCGTGTTTCACGAAGGCGTTCTCAAAGTTGGAACCGTTTTATAATGCAAGTTAACACCAATGAATCAGGAAAAATACTTCTAAATAACAAACTGCTTAAGAAAATACTTGCAATTCAGAAGTATTTTTCCTGATTCATTGGACAGAACGGTGTTAATTTGCATTGTAAAATGGTTCTGACTTTAAGAACGCCTTGGTGAAACATGGTCTGTCTAGCTAGCTAGCTTGCCCATTGGCTGAGACCGTATCACCAGACTCCACCCCCAAGCCTGTATTCTATACAGAGTGAAGATTTAGATGGTTTTCTCCACACCAGTGGGATCTCCAGTGGATGTATGAAACCTGTATTTCCCCTACTTGATTGTATCCCTTTGTGAATATTTGTTTCCGTATTTACTGCTTATGGATCATTATCTTTTCATAAAAATAATGGACTGCACAATTATTTTTGAGTATTATAATTTATTGATTGCATAGTACATCCAAATAACTGTGTGGTTTTGTTCTTCAGTCTCACCATGCCATGTATCTCATTTGTATTTGACTCCCTCCGGAAGCAGCAGCAGAGAGGGGCTCTGGGGTCTCCCCTAGTCCGGCCGGAGAGAGGCTTCGTGGCTGGGGGCGTGAGGCTGGGGCCCAGGGGTTATGTGGAGGACAGAGGGCCCTTTTGTGCCAGACTGAGCTTTGTGCCAACCCAACGGAGAGGGGAAGGGAGCCGAGAGCAGCCCTCACAGGAGCCTGGGGGGGGGGGGGGGGGGGGAGAGCTCTTTTTCCTTTGCTGCGGCCACCGTCTGAGATTGTCCTTTGCTCCCTGGCAGACGTGAACAGATGGAGAGCAGCCAGGCTGCCTGGCTGGCCCAGGCGGAGAAGTACGAGAACAGCCACCTGGGGGGCTACCGGCGCATCTTCCCAGCACGCGGCACAGAGAAATACGCGCCTTTCTTCAAGCACAGCGGATCCCTCTTCCAGGAGACGGTGGCCTCCAAGGCCAGGGAGGAATGTGCCAGGTACCCGGGCAGCGGGAGGGCAGAGGGAGCAAGCGCACCCCCCTCCGCCCCCGCCTCGCCATGCACACCCGGCACTGTGTCCCCTGGCAGGCAACAGCTGGAGGAGATCCGCCAAAAGCAGGAGCAGAGAGACAGCACAGCTGGGAAGAAGAAAAGGGACGCCAAGGAGAGCTTGCAAGGCGAATCCGCGGGGGAGAAGTCTCACGAGAAGGGCAGGGCCAAGCCTGCTCCCGCACGGCTCACGGCCAGCCACAGCAAGACCTGGAACCCAAAGGTACACACAGAGAGAGCCAAACCCCCCCCCCCCGGGCAATGTGTGTGTGTGGGCCCAAGCCCCAGGCTGTTTCTGCGCCACATGCCTGACACAAATTCAGTGTCGTCCAAAGGGAGCAGAACCGATTCGATTTGCCCAGAGATTCAGCTTCCACTGGCTGTGGAGCGCGCTCTGAAGTGCCGGATCCTTTTCCTGCCTGCTGGTCCAGGAGGCACTTCAGAGCGCTTACAGGGCCCTTTGCCTGCTCAAGCGTGGCTGCCTCACAGCTGCCCGTGGGCCTGAGGGGAGGGCTTCTGCTTCCAAGGGGGTGGGAGAGGAAGTGCAGGGTGTGGTGGAAGTCTTACTCTGCAGGTGTGAGTTAGGATAAAGGAACGAACGGGACAGAGAGGCCGCTTTTGACGACCCCCCCCCCCGGGTGTTTCCGCCCCCAGATGTCCTCTGTGCCATACGACAGCATGACTCCCCAAGCGATCGTGGAGGAAGAGGAAGTGGAGCGGGTGAAAGCCCTCTTGCGGCGCGAGAACCTCATCCGGGGGCTGGGCATTGTAGACCAGCTGACCCGCCTGCTCCGGAACACGGAGCCACAGCCCGTGGAGATCCAGAAGCCCAACGTCAACCTCTCGGAAATGCAGGTGGGAGGAGCCGTCCGGCTGAGGCGCTCACACCAGGCAGTATCGGGGGCTGCGGTCCTCCTTCACCTCACAGGAAGGAGCCCTGCTGGGTCAGACCAGGGAGGGTCCCTCGAGTCCAGCAGCCAGCCAGCCAGCCAGCCAGTCCCTCCTGAAAGACCCACGAGAGGGCACAGAGGCCGAGGCCTTCCCCGGATGTTGCCTCCTTGCACTCTGGGTCCCTGGACTCGCCCTGGCTAGTAGCCACGGATGGACCCTCCTCCACGAATCCATCTCACCCCCTTTTAGAGCACTCTGTCCAGCAGCAAGACCGCTAGCAAAGGCAGGCTGGGAATCTGCCTGCTCTAGCAGCAGCAGTATCCGGGCTGCCTTGGAGCCCCAGGGGTGTGTGTGTGTGTGTGTGTGTGTGTGGGGCTGAGTGGTCCCTCTTCCCTGGACTCTCAGGGCCTGACTGTGGAAACAGTATGGTGAGCATTGTGTCAATGCAACTGGCCACAGGGGTGAGAGTGCTCCTGGCTTCAGAGAGCTCTCAGGAAGCAATCCTCAGCGGTGCCACCTGGACCGTGAGCAGGGCAGGGGCACAGAGCAAGGAGCAGACAGACCGACCCCCTAACACCCCCCCCGGCCTTCCCCCCCAGCCTCACTTTCTCCAGGACACCTTCGGTAACTCCCAGCACCTGATGACGTTCGTCCCCCTCTCCCTCCAAGAGCTGGGCCAGCAGATCATGCAGCAGCAGCAGCAGCAGCAGCAGCACCACCACCAGGCGGTGCCCCCCGAGCGGCTCCAGCTCCTGGGCAGCCAAGGCTTCATCCCCTCCCTCCTGGGCGCCCTCTCCGGCCTGGGCCCGGAGGCCTCCTACATCTCCCACTTCAAGCCGCAGCTCCACATGCGGCCCCCCAAGAACATGAGCTGGCTGGGCACGGCACTGGGGGGTGAGCCCTGCCCGCTGGCCCGGATGCTGAAGGTGGGAGGGCGGCGATTCGCCAGTGCCAAGAGCAAGGCGGAAGGCAGTGAGTACCGCCGGCATCGACCACTCCCCTGGCTGGGAACGGGGGGGGGGAGAGCGGGCTGCGGAGTGAAAAGGGCAAGCAGGAATCCGACCAGATGTGGGGGAGGCCAGGTGGGTGCCCCCCGGGGAAACCCTGCAGCTGGCACACAGGGAGGAAGGGAGGGGCACCAGCCTGGGTCGGAGGGCGTCCTCTGCCCCCTCCCCGGCAGCCAGGGACCCCCTCCCCCGGCGGCGGCGGCGAGGGGAGGGGGTCTAGGCCTCCGGCTGACTGCGGCAGGGGGAGGGGAGGCTCGCCCCGCTCAGCCGGCTGGCTTCTCTCTTGCAGGCAGCCCGGCGGCCACCCGGCGGCCGCTGTACCTGAGCGCCGGCTCCCTGAGCTCGCTGTCGCAGGCCGGCCGGGCCCCGCC